AAATAATGAATAAAAAAATAATAAGGATGATGATGATGATGATGATGATGACAATAACAAGTATATAAATAATAACTTGCCTGCCGAATCAGAAGGACCCTGAAATGGATCGAGTTTTGGTCGCTTACTAGGCGGACCGTCCACCAGGTGGTCGGCCATGCTTCCTCCAGCAAATCTTAATTTCTTTCTCGATGATTTACTTCTTCACCATAGCGACGAAAAGGATTTGCTTGTAGTCGATGATGATGACTACGACGACAATGAATGATGAATGACGACGAGATTTTTTATATATGTATACTGCTGTATGTATGTATGTATATATATATATATATATATATATATATGTATGTATGTATGTAAGTATATATATATATATATATGTATTTCTCTCTCTATATATATATATATATGTGTATATATATTAAATAATTTTTTAAATCGACGCCGATGCCATCGACGGCAACGGCGACGACGAGGACGATGGTAACCTAAAGTAAATTGATATGGCGGGCACTGGCAGTAATTTAACAGTATTCAAGTTAGCGGACTTAAACTTTTATGAAGCCGCTAAATTAAAGAAAAGCACGCACTCACGAACGAACGCACTACGAAAAGCACCACGACGATTCTGATTCTGATGCTGATGCTGACGGCGATGATCGTAGTAGTTAGTGGTAATTTTTGATGCTAGGTACAACGATACAAGCTAAATATTGTATCTTATTTGGTGCCGTTAATGTGGATGTCGTTAATATCGACGACGACGACGACGGCGACGACGACGGCCGCGACGACGACGACGACGACGACGACGACGGCTCCGACTCGTCGTCGAAAGCTCGAAATTTGGTGAACTGGCTACTTGTACGGCGCTAGCTCTTAAAAGCGATGGTATCGGTACTCTCTTCTAAACCCACTGGAACCACCACCATCTTCCTCTCTTTTTCTCTCTCTTGCCGAGGATTCAACACTGCGACAACGGGGCGCGCGAATGATCACCGCGGCCGCGGCCACCAGCTTTCCCCACACATTCGCGACACAGGACAGAGACAGAGTGAGCCAGAGTATGCGTGAAAGAGTGGGAGAAAGAGAAAGAAAGAGAGAGAGAGAGAGAAAGAGGAGAGAGAGTGGAAGAGAGAGAGAGAAAGAGAGAGAGAGAGAGAGAGAGAGAGAGAGAGATAGAGAGAGAGATCTCCACACGATTCACCGAGACGCCGAAAATAAAAGCGTCCTTTTATAATTCTTTTTCTTTATTATAATATGACCTTTTATAACAAACCGACACTTTAACAGACCGACGTTGATTATTTCTTTACAACGATAAAAAGGCGATTAACGAGAGAGAGAGAACCTTCCGTATCGCACGAGTATCATCGGCTAACGTAAAATGGCGGCCGCTGTTGACGAGAAGTTTTTCTACGCTTGTCAGAAAATGTCCGACTCCTGTAATGGCTCGAGTACATATTATATACGCTCTTGCCGTCAACTTAGCTAGTTCTGCCGATTGGTTCTACACTGTCACGTGACTTAACTCCAGCCCGTTATTGGTTCCAGCGACGTGAGACACCAACGCCGTTGCTACGTACACGCCACCGTTAATGTAGCCAATGCACTAACCTATTTATCCTTCTCTTATTTGCCGCTTGGCGTCCTTCCCGTCGATTTTATGCACGAGCATATTTTCCTTCTTTCTCTTATTCAATAGAAACTCTCCCATATACGTTTTCATTACATTACTTTTTTGACCTTCTACATACTCTTTGTATGCAATCTTGACTGAAATATTATGTTATTCTACTATCCTTTTTTTTCAACGAAATATTCTTCTTTTTTGCGAGGATGAAAATATAAAGGAAAATTTATGTTTACAAAGTGGTAATCGTATTTAGTGTATCGAGTCGATCAAAGTATTTTAACTCACTCTCTCTCTCTCTCTCCCTCTCTGTTTTCTCTTTCTCATTCTTTTTATCAAAAATAAATAGATTCTTCGTATATTTTTTCTCGTCTATCGACATTTATAATGCTTAATTCTCTTCTAATAAACCCAATTGATAGATTTCTCATTTTACGTAGATCGATACGAATTCGTTTCTTGACAGATTTCGCTGCCGTCTTGTAGACTCGCCTTAACGATAGAAATTTCGATCGATTAGGACGTTCCATACTTATATATGTACATGTGATATCGTAAAAATTCAAACACCTTTAAACATGCGATATATAATTCTCTTAACCCGAAATCAATTTCTAATGACCGTAATAACAATTCTGTTTCGTACACATATGGATTTAAAAAAACACACACTTCAAAAACTATGAATAAAAATTATTTTTCGAATAAGAAAAAAGATTTCTCTCCCTGAACATCTCTCGCGAAGTTCATGATCGACTAAATAACGATCGACGTTCTCGTCCGTAAATAGTTAAGGTAATAAAGGATTCTCTTCGTTAATAATAATAGAAGAGAAATTTCAGGGTTACTACAGAGGTTAACGACATTTCTATTCCTATAGAAACATATAATAATAGTCATGTGATCTAAACGATAAACCATACCAATGATTGACGCAGCTAACAATGACTCCCACGCAACGGCCCTATCGCTTTTACAAGGTCATGGACGTACGCCTACAATTTCATTCGAAAAAAGAAAAAAATCAGATCTCCAAAAACAAACTAAATGCATATCCACACACATATATTATCAAAGTATATATATATATATATACATACCGAAATATGTAAACAATAAAGAAAAACTTATGATAATGAAATATATCGAACTCGTAAAGAAATTTCTTTTATTTTGTATGTCCGAAGGGAGAAGGGGATGAAATGGATGGTCGAATGGGTGGGTGAAGGGAAGGGGTAAAAGCCGACAGAGAGGTGCGAACGGCACGCGACTCACCGCACGCATGCATTGTAAGTTAACCCTTCTCACTCTTGAGTACTACTCACAATCAGATGAAATGTAATGAGAGAGAGAGAGAGAGAGAGAGAGAGAGGAAAGCTGCAGAGTGGTTGCTGCTGTAGACAGAGGAGTTATGGGTGAGGGGAAAGAGGGGAAATGGGACGGGAATTGGATGACGGCGTGGCAGCAGCCACCTAGCCACCCGCCTCGGTGACAGCGGCTCTTTGTGAAGAAGAGCGTTGCTCTTCTCGTATTGCAGAGTACGAGAGGCGTCAGATTCGCCTCTTTTTTTCTGCGCATTTTCTATATTACATTATTTACAAGGAAAGATGCAGCAAAACAAAAATGAACTAGAGATATTTGACGAACGGATCTTTGAAACGAATATGATATACAAACAGTTATCATAGCTTTTATTTTAACTTTTCTTTAATTTTTTTTCGATTGATTCGTTCATCGACAATGGCAGACATCTTTAAAATTATACGTATGCATTTAATTTCTATTTCGATCTGAATATTTTCAGACAAACGAAAAAAAACCACGATTATTATTAATTTGTTTTTTATACGAAGTTGTTATTAAAGGTTCGTTGACTCTCACGGTTTCTCTCTCTCCCCTACATATATATATATATATATATATATGTACATTATGTATGTATATCTTTAAGAGATTGATACAAATATTTTTTTCACTCACACGTACATGCACGTATAGAGATCAGATTTTGGAGGTTATGAATATCTCTATAGAGAATAGATAGCACCCAAGGAATTACGTAACTTCCCAAAAACGCATTTGGGTGTCGGTCGTATGACGCAGTTATTGTTATCATGTCATATTCTTCTTCTTTTTTTCTTCGACTATTGTTCAAGCCATTAATCTCTTTATGTCTGTTCCAGAAATAATAGTCTAGTTGTAATTTTAATGAAATTTTTAAAAAACATTTATGACCATGTATATGTACATATATATTCTCGGAAATCGATATATGCTACATAGATACAATATGTTAGTGATGCAATTCTGATCTGAAAATGATGAGAATATTTTCCTTTTTCTATTTTTCCTTTCTTTCTTTTCTAAATCACATATGGACACTGATATAGTCGCCATTATTGAAGATAACGAATAGATTTTATATATTTAGATAGAGTCATTCATGATTTCGAGTTAATATATATATATAACTAATAACATTTATTCCGTATACACTTATTAAATATAACGTTCTCTAATTATGAGACAAATATAATGTATTGTCGATAACATTTTTTAGTTATTCTCATTTTCTTCTTTTCACTTATCATCCATGCATAAGAAAAAACATTCTATCGAGAATATCAATATTCCAAAGGATTTTTTAAAAATAATTTCTTAGATTCATTTGTTTATGCATTACAAACAATAAAACGAATAGAAGTATAAAAGCATTTAAAAAATATATTGGAAACAACATTTCCAAGGTCACCATGGTATCTTTAAAAAAAAAAGTATATTTCTAATAGTATTTTCATTTTGTATATATTTTTTGATTTTAACTTTTATTATCGTGTAATATAACCTCAATTTTGATTATTAACGTTCCAATATAATATTAGATAATATGTTATGCATATTTTACCTAATAAAAATATTTTGACGATGTTACGTGTAATAAGTAATTTTATTTTTCTTTGGAACATAACCTGAATCGTTAAAAATGAATAGTCAATTAAGTTCGCGTAGAAGAAATGTGTTTTGCGAGGCAATTATTATTGTCAGATCGATGCGACACGTTCTTTGTATTCGTTTGGTTATTCACCCAATGGCTTTGAATGGATAACAAAACAATTTGTGAATGAAGACTATAATTGATTCTTATTTAAGAACAGATTTTGTCAGAGTCAACATACAAAACAATTTGTTCTTTTCCTGTTTAAAAATTCCTTTGCATTTCATTATATTTTTATCATTTAGTTTTTACATTTTTTCTCAATTTAAAATAAAACTTGTTTTTTAAATAATGTAAGTCAAGAATGAAGATGGAGAAGGTAAAGATTTTTTTTGTTTTTTTTGGGAAAAAAATTCATTGCATTGCATATTATTCAATGTTAACAAAAATTATTATATATTTTGCTGTTGTTGTAGTAGTAGTAGTAGTAGTAATATAATAATATTTAACAATAGGGAATCCCATACCTACACCTTACATTTGTAGTTTTTATTTTTCTTTTTTTAAATATATAATGAATCGCATAACGATAAACTTTTTCAAATGATGTTTTCTTTATACGTATTATACTGTTTACGAATAAATTTGCTTCCTTACTTTTCTTTTTCGATGAGTTAAGGAATTTACATTTAAGTATATAATTTTCATTCCTTTTTCTTTTTTTTACAAACAAAGAATTAGCTTAGTAAGTATTTATAAATATTGGCCTCATTTGAAAGAATTCAAACTAATATATATTACAAAATACATTACTAATTTGCATACGGTTGAAGATAGACGGAATCTTTTTATTTGTATTTTATAGTTTAGTATTTCGTTATTAATAAAAGTAAACAATTATATTACAAATCGCATGTAACAAGATGGTTTATAAAATCAGACGAATTAATTTGTCCTTGATATCAAAAATTGATATCAAGAATGAATATGTTTTAAATTAATCATTTTCAATGTAGACTATTTAAAAACCAGAGTATATATAAAAATATAACAACAAATTAAAAAATGCTTTCTTGTATAATGCTACAATCATTCCTATAAGATAAAACTATATTGTGAGTTAATTTATGTGTGACTCAAAATAGTTAAAATATTTAACGTTATTAAATTATACTTATTGTAATTAACAATGCGTTTTTTAATGTACAATTAAATTTGTTCGTTTCATGGATGTAAAATTGATCAATGCATAATGCAGAGGAATAAATACAAATTAATAAACGTTTAAAATTAACATTTGAATACAATAAAAAAAAAGAATAAAGAAAGATAACAAATAAAGTTGATATATTGTTTTAAATGTAAGAATAATCATCTTTTTTAAGAAAAATAAAATTTTACTTGAATTACCGCTAACGAACAAACATACAACACATGAAACCTATTTCTTGCTTAAGTGAAACGCAATTAATTAATTATTTATGTATGCTTATTTTTATATCTACTTACAAAGAATTATTTACAAGAATATATTTGAAGAGTATAGAGACCTCATGAATCCTATTAACAAATCTGTTTTATCGTGTTCAAAATAATAACGCGGTAGAATAGAATATCTTTTTTATAATTGTAATTCATAGAAAAATTCTTTTATCTATACAAACAGAACAATTATTATAGATTTATATATTATTAAATGCTGCGCGGGGAAAGCTCTGCATATGTTTTTACCTATAAAATGGATAAAATTCAAATAATATTATTTTTACGTATGGAAATCTTGATTTCATTGTAATAAAATTCTTTTTATAAAATAATTTTTTCTTTTCTTTTTCTAAATCATTTGATATTTTAATATTTAGCAAGTAAAATTATAATATGTGCTCCTGTATTTAAATTTGCTTTTCTTCTTGTTATATTCATTAATAATATTGTCCTGGTAAGATTTCATTTTCTTCTAAAACTTTATTAAAAGTATAATTTAAATAAAGTATACAGAGCAGAATTACTATTTACTGTTAAAATATTTTTTTATAATTCAACAATAATATTTTAAAGGAAATTTGTAGACTCATTAATTATAACACAAACTTTATAATTTAATACTTAAAATCAAGATGCACTTTAGACGGATTAACAGAGCTGCATATGCGCTATTAATATATACATGCATACGCGTAGACATATACACATATATACATATATATATCTCTGCGCGTATATAAAAAAAATTGCAAAACTTAAAAACTAATTTTCAAATGCAACTGAAACTTAACGTCAACTTGTTAAATTTCAGGGGCACCAAGTACACATATTCTATGCTCTCATCGTAACATAGTAAGATATGACAGGTGACATAGAACACACAGTCATTTTAATATAGTGGAACATGATTGAAACAGAGCGAAAGTTAGAAATATTCTGCCTAATACAAATTTGATGTTATTTTTGGTAGAAAAATTCTTTGTACAGATATAAAAAGATTATTTTTATATGATAATCGGAGTGTGTATGTGTTTTTTGTTGAAATCAGGCACTCAAACGAAGTCTTTAGAAGAAACACAACAGCTCAGAGTTTCTAAATTAAACTAAAAGATATTAATATGTTTATATCTTTCAGAAATAGTGTTAAAAATTAATAAAATATTCGGCTGAACGTTCGTAAACATTTCTATGAACAATAAATCTAAGAACTTTTTTAACAACTCTGTGCACGCAGTGTATTCCCAAAATTCTTTCTTCATTTTAGACACAGAACGGGGCGGTCAATCATCTTTTGATTTAGTTTCAGCTTCACAGACATCAGACTTTGTATTTTGTTGATCCAACTTATTTTCAGTCTCTTGCTGGCTACCTTCGTCTTCCTCGTCGGAATAATTCGTGGGTTCTTCTCCTAGTTTTAATAATTTTCCTACATAATCATACCTCTCTAAAAACATAAGAACAGAATATATATTGCAATATATCAATTATATAATTTCAATATAAACGTATGCAAAATTATGATAAGTTAGTCCTTTTATTCTTCTGTCCAGTTTAAATGCTTGAACTTTGATCATATTAATAATGTATAAAAAAATAATGATCCATTTAGAATGAATAAACTTAAATAATGAGATGGTCAGAGTAAGCGTTCTATTTTTATACAATTAATTATAGTATGTACATATATATATTAAATTAATTTGATTGTAGTTATATAATAAAAAATATTAACAGAACTTGCCTTTAAATTGCAACTCCCATTCTTTCATAGAACTCATTTGTTCGCTGTCTAAGTCGCTTAAATCATCATATTCGTCCTTAAGCGGTTCTAATGTAAATGTTGCTAATCCTCTGCTAGCATCTCTTCCTGCGAATACTGCATATGGTGCACCTTTAAAAAATATATACTATTTATCATAAACAATTCAAATTATGTAACATAATTATTATGCATATTGTCAGTAGGAAACTAATTTAATGATCTTGTGACCATTGTAGTTTTATATTTATGCTTCTTCGAAGCAACTATTAATGCATTTTATCGCAATAGAATTTAATACAATCTACAACGTATAACGTTCACCAATTTAATTATGTTTTAAAGACGAAAGCACAAATATTGAAAATCAAAGTTAATTAGAGAAACAAAATTGATAATAGTATTGAAATACTTACCTGGACCGTAGAATGCAGCACCTCTAGTAACATCATAAACACTTCCATTAAGTGCAACCAATATTCTTCCATCCGGCCCATGACCATCATATTTTTTCAATTCTTCGATGGTGAAATCACGATGTAATTTAGGTAAACGTTTAATTTCGACTGGTGAATTCTTAGATTTAATTTTACTCTTAAGAATTTTATAAACAAGAATTGCAATTATACCAACCAATATAAGATTAGAAGGACTCTTAATGATTTGCTCGACAAAATTGGTTAGAAATAATGAATTATTTTGAGAATCGGTCGTAGCCGACGTGGAACCCGGCTTCGAGTTGCTCTTTTCGGCCATTTTGACCACCACCAGGAGCTTCGACGAGAGACCGATAAAAATCTCTAACAACGTTCGATATATTACGAAGGAAAATAATAATTTTTTTTCCTCCTTTTATTTTTATTAATCTTTTTTCTCGTTACGATCGATACCTTATTTTCCAATGAACTAATAATACGAGAAAGAAAATCGAATAACAATTTTATTATGTTGTTTCTAACGTAGATAATATTCTTCGATACCTCGATAAAAACCCCGCCGTTCGACAGCGCCAGACACGGACTAACAACGACTGATGTTGGTTACGTGCAACGATATACACCCCCCTCCCCCTCCTTTCATTTCAATATCATTCCTCCTCCCACCACCTAACCTTCTTTACGTTTACAGTACCGTAATCTATCTTTCCCCTTCTTTATCATTTCTTTTTCATTTGTCATTGTGTTCTTGTTGTGTTATATATATTTTTGTGTTACGTTTATCTACTATCGTGCTTTCTATTTAACGAATATATATTTTAATGTACATTAATATTTGCAGAATAAGATGATCGACGTTTGGATTAATAAGATTCTTTGTAGAAATAATATTTGTGTTTGTTTATGAAATTTTATATAGTTAGCGATTGATAAAGTTTTACAAAAATTTATCGATACGTTCCTGAGCGAGAGAGCTTCCGCGCATGCGCCGTTCGATGTCCCGTTAGGTTAAATGACAAACGTGACGATGCTTTTTACGACATTGCAATTTTATGATAAATAATAAGTATTTCGAGACGTAGTTTACATTTTATAGAAACCTAATCTATTATAGATGATATTTGTATATTATTATTTAACAACATTTTTTTTTATTTATTTCGCAAAGAATAAAATAGTGCATGTGCAATTAGAAATACACGATACAATAAGTACAATAAAGAAATTCCGTTTTTGTAAAGATTATAAAATGACCTCTAAGTTCATTAATTGTATCGAATGATATGTAAGAAGTTATTTGACCTCGATTTTTCATATTCATGCTGTTTCATCGTTTATCTCTTATCCATGAGATTCTTGGTTGTGTGCGTATGTATTTAATCTACATTTCTATATTACTTACTAATTACGTACATCGACGTTAAATAGTGATAATAATTTATTTATTTATTTATTTATTTATTTTATTTCTCATATCTTTATACATACATGAGATTTATTTGCATAATCAATTAAAATAATTTAAAGTAGTAGGCAAGCGTAACAAGATTATTTATTTGATTTATCTGTACATGTCAAACACACACGCTTAATTAATATAATTGAATTGTACTTTATATATTGGACGGTTTTGTTTATCAAAATATCAAGCTTACTTATCTTTTAATCATTTAATGCGTTAAGTATCTTATGTAACTCAATGTATGTATAGAATTATTTTTATCGAAATCTGTGTGGCTATTAACTTCTTACTTTTTATATAGAATAAGTAATTATTCTTTCTCTAAGGCACTCGAAATAAGTTAGTTAGTTTTAGTGCAGTCATAAATAAAATTATCACACACATATTAATTTTGTTTTAATCTATGAGTTAAAGTTTTTCCATTGTGTTTTCTTGAAGATCAAGATATGGACGGATATCAATTGTCGATAATATAGTATTAGGATCTACGTGTTCAGAACACATTGGACATGTCTCATCGAATTCAATGATTCTAATAAAAAAAATATATATGTGAAAGATTTATTATTTTTGAATGAAAAGAACTACTAACCTTAAAAATTCACTTCTGATAGCAGGAAAATCGCATTGTGGACAGACCGTAAAATTATCTTCTATGATATGTCTTCCCTGAAATAGATTATATGTATTATTTCCCGGAATAGATTATATGTATGATTGTATATCACATTTGTATCTAGTGTATATCTAATGAAAAATCTTTTACCGTGGCTATGCAGAATGGAATTGTATTTTTGCACTTATCACAGGTTATTTCAGTTTCAGGAACTTTACTTTTACAATATGGACATGGAGTTAAGGGTTCATCTTCGAGCTCATTATCTTTGGCTCTTGGTGGTTTTCTTACAATAGCTTCAATCTTCTTGCTATATTTAATATCAATTTGTGTTCTATATTCGGGACGCATCAGCATAGCTGCGAAATTGAAAGCTGCTTGTTTCAAACCTGCTCTATGACATTCTATAACTGTCGAGGTTAAAATTGGTACGATATCTGTAATGTAGGAAATTGATTGTGTATAAGATTTAATTCAATTAGTTTTTTCCTTAATTATTTTTTATACTAACGCGAGGGAAATTTAGAAATGTTGTTTGCAACTCTAATCAACATTCTGGCACCTCGCAAATGGTCATTCCTTTTTACGTGAAGTCTTACTAATATGTAAGAGTGTAATAATCTCAAATTATTTTGCATTTCCAGAGGTGTATTTATTTTATTTCTTTTTAATTCTTGATACATGCCGAACAAGACATCATGCGCATTCCTGTAGTTTCCTGAAGAAAAAGAAAGTCAATGATAAAATATTTCATTAAAAATATGTATGTAAATATGTACCATTAATTTGTTCTTCGTTTGCAATGATGATCGCTGTCTTAGCTGCTTCTTTATATTGCTTCCTTGCCATATACAATCTAAATAAATATTTTGGATCCTGTACAAGAAGACAATGTTTAATATAACACTGTAGAGATAATTTAAATAATTATGTACCTTTGGTACTCCGTCTGCACCTAGTAGAAAATCAATCAAATGATTAGCTAATTTTTCGTCCTTAGATGAAGCTACTGTATCTATTGCAAATGATAATGCGGCATCATCATCGACAGTTAATTGTGCAGCTTTAAGTAAATGTTTCAAAGCCTATAAACATTATATTTTTGTAATTATTTTCATATAATATACAAGTGAAAAATAATTTTATAAATTGAACCTTTGGATAATCTTTAGCATGAAAGTAATATTTCCCAGCCAAAAGATTATTTTTTTGAGATTCAAAATGTATAGCTAGATTCTTAAAGTCTTCCTTTCTATTATTGTCATCATCAATAGTATTTATTAAAATTTCTCCATATAATTCCATTTTACCATGCTGATTAGCAAGTTGAAATGCTTCGTCATGACAATTAGATAGAATCAAGAATTTTATGGCTGAATTATAATCGTTTATTTTTTGGAAATATTTAGCTACTCTCTTAGCTCCTTCGATGCTTTTAGTTTGCTGTACGATCTCTACGCTCCGAGCTGTAACAATAAAACAAACATGAAATAATAATGAAACTTAAAGAAATTTTATTTCTTACCAGGATTATTTAAATATTCAAGATTGATTCTTATTATATTATCGTAATCCTTAGCAGTTTCGTATGCTTTTGCAGCCTCTTCGTATTTTCCCTCAGCTTCTTTAGCTTTAGCGTATTGTATATTTATTTTAGGTGATGATATTTGTGGCAAAAGTTGTCCTACTTTATGCCAATTCTTTAATTTGATATATGCCGATGCAGCTTTATCAAAATATTCTGCTTTCTCATACAATAATGCGGCTTCATTGATTTGCTATAAATATAAATGCTATGTAAAACTGCAAGACTTTTTATAATTGTCAAATATTTGAAAAGTCGAACCTTCATAGTCTCCAAAATTTCAGCACATTCTTTCCGTAGGGATCTAGAGCTGTCGTTATCCATAGCTATACTCACACCTTTTCTACTATCTCCGCATCTTATAGACATTCTTGCGATACCAGCCAGACATTGATTTTGATGTTGAATATCATGCGAATTAGAAGTGGATGTAGAGTTTGGATCAAGTAGACCTCGTTCATAATTAGTCAATGCTTTTGGATAATTTCCACTGAAAAATATTATGGATTAATGATTTGATATGGTACCATAATTTATTAACACTTACATAAATTCTAATTGTTGAGCATATTCTCTAGCAATGAATGGTATTTCATCGGATTTTAATTTCTGTGCTAAACTAAGAGCTTGTTCCCATTGCATCAAATCTCTTCGTAAATATAAAGCTTGTACAGGTTCAGATGATTGTAAAAAGAATTTCTCAGCTTGGTTATAATCTCCAAGTAACAAACATGCATGCCCACATAGTAAATTCAATTCGTTTAAATTCTCTATTTTTTCTAATGCCCAAACCATCGAAGCATCTTCCATACGTCGATAAACCCGAATTGCTAGAAAGTTATATTATTAACTTAGTACAAAATTATTTATCAATTGTATGTTTGTAACAATATTTACCAAATTCAATATTTAAATTTGCCAAAGCACTTTGACCCAGTTTCAACCACAAATCGTTATCATTTAATTTATCGCAGATGTTCCAAGCGCTGTCAAATCTACAAAATATTAAAAAGTTTATTTAATTTTGATTATTAATTAATAAATTTTATTTCATGTTAGATTGTACGATATACCTCCTACACATAATATGATTGTTGAATATTTCATTGATTCTTTTACTATCTACTATATTTCCTACATCTTCGTGCGAAGCTAATGTTATTTGTATTAATTTGCTACTCGGCGTGCTCAATGTTACTTCGCCGGAATACATTAACATGGGTAATGTTTCTGATGGCAACTTTGTTGAATTTATTTTGATGATTTTTTGACCTTTGTGATTATAATGAATGAATATAATTTTAATAGTTAATTTAATTCTATATAATAGCATACTTATTTTTTACTCACCTTCGACAAAGTATTTGATAAAAATGTATGTTATAATAATACTCTTATTATATACTGCAAATATCGAACGTTCGAAAATATTTTGGTCCCATATAATACCTTCTACAGCATCTGGACATTCAGGCACTTGAATAATATTTTCATTAATCGGATCATATACATATAGATCTGATTTATTATCGATAAAACATAACTGTGTTCCATTTGCATCTAAGTATATATTTTTGATACCATTGTTATGAGTAAACTCTGTTGACTTGTTAAATGCCGCTAAGTAAAAATATATTATATGGCCCATCTGAAAATTTGTATTAATTAACATTAAATTAGTATAAATATGTTCTTTTTAGAAGACAGTAAATAAATTTACGTCAGTTCCATAAGTAAGAAATTCTGGCGACAATGCATGGCATGTTATTCTTGCATTTAAAATATTTGATTCTGGAAATAACTTGGTATCTTTTCCATCGTTTATTAAAGTCTGATCTACTTTAATCTGAAATGAAAAATATTCCTTGTTATTTTATTCATACAAATTTTGTAACTTCTTGCGGTAATACAAATTAATAACATATGTATACCAATTGTAATT